CATTCTAAGTTATTGACATTCTTGAGTAAGAACAATCAGTTTTTGAATGTTAAAAGCAAAACAACGAAAAGAAAATAAAAATGTTGAAATTGTTAAAATGCAGAATTGTTAAAATTGTTAAAACTGATAAAATTGTTAAAACTGATAAAATTGTTAAAAATGATAAAATTGTTAAAAATGTTAATATCCGATGCACTGGGGTTCGAACTCACAATTTCTGGGATTGCCGCCTTGCGCGTTACCAACCGAGCTAACTCGGTGCGATACACATCACTCACTGCATTGTATGTCATATAAAGTAAACAGCATGGCGGTATCGATCGCTTCAAGGCACCAAGACTTTCAAATATTAACTACGGGGTTTCCTTCTTTATCAGGTTTGCTTTTGAACCACCTTGATATTACTTAACTATCAACCCGGCTAGCAGAAGCCGCCGGCTCCTTTGATATTACAGCCGCTCCCTGTCCAATCTTCGAAAACAGTTGGGCATGCAAGCCCTCGACCCTCGCCAGGAAACCGTCTCGCGATGTTATCAACAACAACAAACGAACGCCTGTCCACTCTACAATTTTGGTGATTCTTCGGAGATCGATAACAGAACCTAGATAATACTAGTTGGTAAAGATTGCGGAAAATTGTTGATACCGTGGCGCGCGCGCCGACGATACACATTACGTACCGCGTAACTTTTTTGTTTACACGCCGGGCACAGGTCATTGACCTCCAACTTGCGTTGTTCCAACAGAGAAGAGCAAAATGTCTGGCTCCCGCAGAACGTACCGCACTCCCCCGCTGGACGTACCGCACTCTCCCGCAGAACGTATCGCACTCTCCCGGAGGACGTCCCGCACTCTCCCGAGGGAAGTCCCGCACAGCGTCCTGCACTCTCCCGCAGAACGTCCCTCGAAAATTGATGCGTATTTCGTGGCCTGTGCTGTACCTACCAAAACACTTGAGTTCATATTGTCAAAATGGAATGGCTTTGAACAGGTGTTAATTGAGTTAATCCAATCAAATCCAACAGCCAATCAGCAAGAAGAATAGATTGGTCTGCGTCAGGTTCATGCTTGCATGCCCATATATGGGCATGCCGCCGAATTCCTTTCTTATTACGTCACGCGCGTACGCCCCCACAGTACTTTCCTATGGGGACCGTTAAAAAAGCAAATAAAACGATTGTAAAAGCTTGTATCAAAAAAATTTAAAAAACGCCTAGGGGTATTTACCCACTCTACCTCTATACGAAATTCCAGGTAATTTCTCCCAAAAAATGAAGGAGTTGAATCAATTTAAAGAAGTGGCAGGAGGAGGAGGAGGAGGAGGAGGAGGAGAAGGAGGAGGAGAAGAATCATCAGTAAAAACAGTATTTCACTCCATACTGAAGTATGGAGTGAAATAATTATGTCATTATTTAGTCTTTTGTGTTATTACCTAGGCTGAATTTGCTGGTAAATGCATTTTCGTTATGTGCGACAATAGAATACCACATCTCTTGTTTCTAGATGTCTTGATGAGTATCCTGTACTTCTCTGGGTTAGTTAGTCATTGTTTTTAGTCATCAGCATTTGAGTTGGTGTCAATTCTAATGTTTCTGACGAAGGTAGAAGAGATGCTTTTACAGTTCTTGTTACGTGTTTACAAAGGAGTGAAAATGTATTAGCCAGGCCTCCACTAAAATAAACTGCTCGACTGCCATAAGCATCTGAAGTCTATTAGTTTATGTCATTTGGATTTATACCTTTGGGGACTGGTCATAATACTAATAATAGTATTACTGGTGTTCCGTACTGTTGAAAGTCATCTAGTAAAGCCAGTCAACTACTTTAGCATCGATAAATCTCGCTTTCTTTGGAAAGCATTGGTATCACTTTTGATGTAGCGCTTCTCTTTGGGGAAGGGGGGTTACCCTGCGAAATAGCATTTTATACCTTTAAGTTAAAAATTTCTTTCTAACATTTTTGCCTAGAAACATGTGTTGAATCTTGTCCAATTTAGATATGAACGAATGCTCCAGTAACAACGGAGGCTGTGACCACAACTGTGTGAACACTGTTGGGAGCTACCATTGTACCTGTAGGAATGGGTACCAACTAAGTGGCTCAGAAAGATGCGTTGGTGAGTAGAAGCGAGGAAATGATACTCAACGCCTTTTTTCAGCAGTCTTAACCAAGTAAAATCCAAACTAACAAAAATACTTATATCCAATCAAGCTTTGCTTTAGATTGTGTTAGTATTGAAAAAGAATAAACGTGTCAAAATTTATTCAAATTGAATACGACATCGTTAACTCTCATTCAATGTAGTATACTCGGTGAATAGGATTAACTACTGCAGCACGGGTAAATCCCGCATTTTTGCAAAGCATTGGTAAACCCTTTTTAACGCGCTGGTCTATAGCCATCTTAAGGCCTTGATGCTTAGAAATTCTATTCTTACTTATTTTTGCTAGATACGTATCAAATCAAATCAAATCAAAATCAAATACACTTTATGGCTCAACAACTGTTACTGGTACAATGAATATAAGAAACAACACGGGTAGATACATGAACTATACTAAACTAGAAAGGTCGAAATTTGCTTTGGAGCAAATGCAGCGGATGGCTTCACCAAAATTTTACGGCATGGTAGGAAAAGAAGAACAAACACAAGGGAAAAATGCTTTACATTGATATAACTATAGTATGAAGTGACATATAACTAAGAATACAACAGTTGGATAGCTATCCACTACATAATAGGATTTTTAATTGCATAATGCAAACTGTTGATTTTCAAGATAAAAAGAAAAGTTTATGCCCCGCATTCCAATGCTGGAGCAGGAAAGCTTGACATACCTACCAGAACACTTGAATGCAGTTCATACGGTCATGGCATGGCTTTGTGTAGGTGTTCATGAAGTTAACCCAATTAAATCCCAACAGCTAATACCATAACAGCCTGCATACCAAATTTCAGGTCATTTGGCCTAAAAATGAAATAAATTGAATCCATTTAAAGAAATGGCAGGAGACGAAGAAGAAGAAACATAAGGACAAACAATATGTCTTCACCACACGTGGTGTGGTAAAGTCATAGATATAATTATAACATATGTAGAATCTTTTCCAATTTAGATATGAACGAATGCTCCAGTAACAACGGAGGCTGCGACCACAACTGTGTGAACACTGTTGGAAGCTACCATTGTACCTGTAGGAATGGGTTTCAATTGCAGTCGGATTCAAAAAGTTGCAATGGTAAGAGAGGAAGGAAATGATAACAAATGTTTGTAAGCTTTTCAAGTTTAAATGTCCACCCCTTTGCGGTAAAGTTACATTGCAAAGTTTATGCGTAGTCTAGTTGGGGCCAAACGGACCCTAGCAAATTACGTACAAATATTTCTTGATATTTTACATATATTTTATACATTTCACTAACCTACTTGTTTTTTCAATGCGTGTTCATTGGAACATATGCTTATTTAACAGAAACAGCTTTTTCAGTTCAAATTATGGTTTGTAAAAATTCTGCGCACAGTTTGATAATCTAAACGATTTTTTTTACATTAAGACATTTCAAAACATTCCAATATAGGAAACCATGCAGGCACAAGAATGTCAAAGAGTATAAAATCATACATGTGATGCATGTACATTTGGGTGGTCGGATAATGCAGGCTCTTATACAAATAACTCTCACATTCCTGATTTCATGAATTCATGTCTGGTTTAGTATTGTCTATTTTCTATCACCATTGTTGCAGCGATAAAGTGATTATTTATACGCCTAAAATTTAAAACCCACTCATTATGCAGAACGTGGAATTATTAATTATCCACTGCCTTCAAAGAGGACGTAAAACATCATAATAGCAGTACAAGTATAGGTTTTGTCTGTTCCCTATAACTGTAATGTACTGCACTCGTATATTTGACTGTGTAAAAGGAATTAGCAATCGGGCAAATACCAAAAAAATCAATATTTGTGACTCGTGGCTGTCACTTAGTCAAAAAATAGACATGGAATGCGGAGAGGTCTTTATTTTTGCATAGAAGGTAGTGACTAATTTATGGGCCCAACTAAAACAAATGTCTTGCTTTTGTGTGTTAGATATCGACGAGTGTTCCAGCTCGCCTTGTCGTAACGGCGGAACCTGTCGAAACCTCATCAACGCCTACCGCTGTGACTGTCGACCTGGATGGAGTGGCGTCAACTGCCAGGAAGGTCGGTGTGTTATCTATGTTCATATGTTAACGCCAATATGACTAGTATAGTAGAGAGAATTATTCTTGCATCATCGACCTTTAGATGGTGTGAAAAAAGACATAGGCTAGAAGATGATGTCTGATAAGATTACTAGATTTGTCTTCTTTCAGATATAAACGAGTGTGATGAAGCCCAACATGACTGTGAGCAAACGTGTCTGAACATTGTTGGTGGCTTCACATGTGGCTGTGACGGTGGGTTTCTACTGAACGCTGATGGAAAGACCTGCTCAGGTGATATTTTATGATATTGCACATTTCGTATGTCTGCAACAGGGCAATTTTGTCATTGAATTTTCTCACACACAGCCAAGCCACCACGCATTTATTTTAGAGGATACACTAAATGATTATTTTTTTCTTCAGATGTAAACGAGTGTGACCAAGACATTCATGACTGTCAACAAGTCTGTATGAACACCATCGGAGGGTTCTCTTGTGGATGTTATTACGGGTTCTCTCTTAATGAAGATGGGACATCATGCTCGGGTAGGTTTTATTTTAGATTCCTGTTGATAAAATAAACTACCAGAGTGAAAATGTTTCTCTTTTATGAGCCAGTCACAATATAAACATTCTACGTTAACAATAGATGCTGACAACTGTGTCCCGGGAGCATGTGACAACGGTGGCACATGTGTTGATGGTAACAACACATTCTCCTGTCTGTGCTTACCTGGATTCAAGGGAGAAAGATGCCAAACAGGTATTAAACACTTTTTCACTATTGTAAAATATCTAATTTACTCCCTATGTCCACACCGCCAAACTGTATGATAATAGCTTACAAACTGTCCATATCTTAAACAGATATATGTTAAAGATAAATGTTTCAGATAGGTTGCCTTTTTTACTTTATGCTAGTGCAAAAAAAAGTATATCTTGGACGCAGATTATGTTTGTCTCTTAACCCTTGTCCTGCTGGCAATTATTGCACAATATTTTCAAATAATTTCATATCTTAATCAAGTCACAGACCCTTTACTTTTTTTGCCTCGCGGTGGCGTAGTTACTTCCACATTCGTTACGTTTCGCTGCGGTGTGATGCGTTGCACGAGAAGTACCCCCAAATTGTACATTATACAGGACACTAAATAGATGGTACTGTATGTGCAACCCATATATATATGGGTCCCGCAGGATTATCTAATCTAATGTGTTCTATATTTTTCTTACTTATAAGAGAATATTGAATTTCATTCGACACTATTAGCATGGACGCGTCAGATTATGAGTAATTATAACAAATTCCCTGAAAATCACTAGCGGCAAATAGTTCTAATAACTGGTAAGTCTGTCGGTTTGCTGAAGCTGCAGTAACCTTGCACTAAACATTTAATTTTAAAGTTGACTCCCGCATTTATTGTCCATCTAGCACCGTGCAGTGAAGATTACGACCCTCCCCTGAACGGCGGTAAAGCCTGCTCAGTGACGGATGACACGACAGGAGCCATGTTCTGTACTGTGTACTGTCGGGACGACAAGGAGTTCGCAGTAAGACCTGCCGATGTCTACACGTGCCGGGCTGATGGGGGCTGGTTCGCTGACTCTCATCCTGTGGTTGGTCAGAATAGTCCCTGGCCAGACTGCACAGGTATGGTTTTACTGGGATGACTACCCACATTTTAGACTAAGATTCGTAAAAGATACAAATTATTTTCTTGCCGTGTAAAAGCAATTTTTTTTACCTCCATGACATGTCATAGGGGGTATATTTTCAGTTGCGCGTGTCAGTCTGTCTGTTAGTCAACAAAATAACTCAAGAACGGCTGGATGGATTGGTTTCATACTTAGTGTATCGGTAGGGTGTGGCGAAACCTGGAAATGATTAGATTTTGGCCCCCTAGTGGCTTCCCCTTGTACTGCAGCGCAACTTCCGGTTTTGATATCTCGCGATCTGGACATGCTAGCGTCATGGGTTTTGGATGGTATGTAGCTCTTGTCCTCGGGAAGAAGTCACGTAAGTTTAGGCTCCCTAGCGGCTTGTTCTAGAACTGCAGGATGGTTTGTTTGAAAGAGAGGATAACTAAACAACCGTTTGACGGATCGTCGTGATTTTTGGTACGTAGATAGCTTAAGTAATGCTTGACATAATCAAATGATCATTATGCAAATCAGGATCTAATCAGGATCTAACTTCTACTAGTACTAACGGTAGCAAAATTTTCACGGTCTGAGAAAAATGGACATGTTTACGGAACTATATATTTACGGTGGTGACAGTTGCAGGAAAAAGAAAGTCCCGGAATTAATTCCTAACTGTAATGATAAGTTCACGGTACAGAAGTGACAGTGAAAACCGCGAACATTGACCTCCCGCTTGCGTTGCCGTACAGTGAAAAAAAATCGGGAATTACTGACAGTAATAACTTTACAGAGTATGTTTGCTTAGTTTACAGATGTTTTGTATGATTGTCATAAACTTAGTTTGGAAATGAACGAAAACCGATGCGCGCACAGATGTCATCCATATAATCAAATCAACATGGCCTTATTTACAATCACGTAAACTATGAAACTATACATTGAATAAGCTTTATATATACAAGGATTATCATAACCTTTATTTTTAAAATCATGCCGGGAGCTAATTGCATGTACAGAGTGAAAGAAAGTAAAGTAAAGTAAAGCAGTAGAATTTCTGTACTAAGCTATGATAGTACTCCATATGATTCATCCTCATCATCATCATTCAATGTGGTCTATCCCTTGCTACTAGTGACTGGTAATACCTCTGTAGATTCTTCACACTGGCACAGTGCCGTAATCCTTCTCTCTTGACCGAAAAGTGATTTTGGTTTGTATGCTGGAAAAATACAAAAGACTAACATTCTAAGTTATTGACATTCTTAAGTAAGAACAATCAGTTTTTTAATGTTAAAAGCAAAACAACGGATTTTAAAAAGAAAATGTTAAAATTAAATGTTAAAATTGTTAGAATGTTAAAATGGTTAAAATTGTTAAAAATGTTAAAAATTAAAAAAAATGTTAAAAATGTTAAAAATTAAAAAAAAAATGTTAACAATGTTAAAAATAAAAAAAAATGTTAAAAATGCTAAGAATAATAAAAAAAATGTTAAAAATGTTAAAATGGTTAAAAAATATCCGACCCCGGGATTCGAACTGCCTGGAATGCCTGGAATTGCGCATGCCGCCCTGTGCGTTACCAAACGGTCGAGCTAACTAGGTGTAATTCAATTACGCACTGCCTTGTATGGCATATAATGTACTTCTGAAACAAAATGGCGGTATCGATCGCTTCAAGTAAGGCACCAAGACTATCAACTACTAGTAACTGGATTTCCTTCTTTATCAGGTTCGCTTTTGAACCTCCTTGATGTAACGTAACTATCAACCCAGCTAGCAGAACCCGCCGTCTCCTCTGATATTACAGCTCCGCCCTGTCCAATCTTTGAAAATGTCCGGCATGCAAGCCCTTGACCCTCACTTCAGGAAAATTTGCCACGAAGCCGTTTTGCGATGTTCTCAGCAACAACAAACGAACGCCTAAATCTGTACTCTCTTCAATTTTGGTGATTCTTCGGAAATCGATAACAGTACCTACTAGTAGATAATACTAGTTGTATTTTATAGTCGGTAAAGATTGTGGAAAATTGTTGATACCGTGGCGCGCGCGCGCAGACGATACACATTACGTGTTTAATCGCGTTTGTAATATTGTCTACTCGCGGGGTGTAGGTCATTGACCTCCCGCTTGCGTTGTTCCAACAGAGAAGAGCAAAATGTCTGGCAGTTTTAGCGTCAGATTTTTGTTTGTTCAATCATATACAGGCATCCATGCATCTATCATTATTCCAGCTAGTTCGTAGTTAGGTAAAATGTTTATTGGAATCACACGAATCGGTATCAAATATCAAAGTATCAAATAGTAAACATCTTCGCCCACGGCCTAGACCGCGTGGACCCGCCGCGCCATTAACCCCCCTATTGTCCACAAATTGTCAACAAATAATGAAAATGAGATGGAATAAGTGTCATGTAAATCTCAAAATACAAAGGCTGCTCATTAACGACCGAAATCTCGCGAAATCTCGCAGTTTCCAAATGTTATGTCGGAAAAGATATCCTCTGCAACTGGCAAAATTCTAATGCAACGTTGACGAAAAATCCATCGAAAACCGTGAAAATACAGGGTTCTGCGCAGGCGCAGTATGTTCTGCCGACGTGCTGCCTGTGCTGAACCTACCTGAAAGAACTCTCCTGAAAGACTTGAGTTAATCCAATCATATCCAACAGCCAATCAGTAAGAAGAATAGAGGAATGCTGCATGCCTATTGGTTGCTTGCCCTACATGCCATTCTGACTCATGCCGAAATATAGTAACACACTGCTATATAGTTCATTTTCTATAAGGCAGCCAAAAAGCTCAAATAAAAGCATTCTAAAAGCATATGCATGTATCACAAAAAATTGAAAAACGCTTTGGGGTATTTTACCACTCTACCTTCATGCCTTAATTTCATTTTATTTTTCCCAAAAATGAAGAAGTTGAATCAATTTAAAGAAATGGCAGGAGGAGGAGGAGAAGGAGAAGAAGAAACACGAGGAAAGACAGTATTTCACTTCATACTATAGTATGGAGTGAAATAAATAGGCTCTTATGATTTGCATATTCGCAGTAAAAAATGTATACTTAGTCAGTTTGGCAAAGGTATCTTCTTTCCATGGGCGACCGCCTTCGACTTTCCGAAGATTATGTCGCCGTGTCGGGTAAACTGCGCGAAGGGGGGGGGGAGGGTTAAATGTACTGAGAAAGTGGAGGTTTCAGGGGGTTACAATTTGGTCTTGAAGCCCTCTAAGTTGTTACTAAGGGCAGTGTCAGCCGGCAAGCTATTCCCTGATTGTACGTGGGAAAAAGGATCTCTCATATAAAGTATGTCAGAGGTCGTGCTTGCATATAACCAACAATATTGATATCATATGTTGTCCCTGACAAATGATAAGGATTTCACCCGTGTGTTGCATGTAACTAGGTAGGGGCTATGTGAATAATTTGTCTACAAATTTTGCTAATGAGCAGGATTGTAAATGTAAGCCATGCACAGGTGGTCATCACTATGCATACGATTTACGAAAGCAGTAAACAAGTCATGGAGGTATAAGATCGCCGAACTCTAGTTTTCTAAATGTTTTTGATTAGATTAATGTTTTGTTTTTGTTGGGCGGATTTTACCGATTCTTACATCAAGTGTGTCCTTATTTGTTCACAAAAAAGTTGTTTCATTTTGTATTTTGAAAGATTATGGGAATGACGCATTGCAACAAACAATATTATTTCAGTCTATAGGCTTAAAATATTTCAGCTACATTGTATCACACTGTCATCATAGTTTGTCATTTACTGTGGTATAATATTCATTTGACTAAAGTAACTGCAACATGTGTTATAGATGTTTGGGGAGACCACAAACTTTAAACTCTCAATAACATATTAAGCACGTTTTCGAATTCTAATTTGATATTTGAAGGCAAAGTAGGGCAAAGTTGATGTTGCTTTATATTACCACAGGAAGGTATCGTCCAGGACGCCCCCACATGTTAGGATCAGTCCATTACTTCTCCAACACTGACTGTCTGACCAGTATGGGTGAAATCATCTCCAACTTCCAACAGCTCTTCAGTCAGCTGCCGTCCTTTCAACCTGGTGGCTCTATCACTATCGAGCTTCAGAACGTTGAAGTGGAATGTGGAGGGACATCAAAACAAACCGATGGAATTAGAGGGCGGAACTTCGTCTCAAAACCTTATAGATCTGCAAACGGCTTCATGGTAAGGTTCAAGGTAGTTGCCAGCAGCTCTCTGCAACCGGATGTTACACAGACTGAGCAATCTAATCTAGTATTTGCTCTCGACGATATTTATTTTGATATCGATGAAAAAGTTGGAAACCAGCAATTTTACTTGAACATCAACGGACAACAGGCCTCGGCCGACACATTTGACATCGGGTTTGCGGAGTTCGACCTCAACTGCACCCAGGGGCAACTGAGTTTTCAAGACAGCTTCGAGGCGTATTGTCGTGAGTTAGACTTTTGACAATATCAATAACTTTTACACCATAAAACACCACAAAAAAAACTACAAAAAGAGAAGTGCCGTGCCATATACCAGATTAAACGTCTATTGGTATCGGTCCCTGACGGAATTGTATATCAGACAAAAAAATGAAAGTTCGTTAAAAAGTGGGTTATCTAATAGAACACGGAAAACCATGATTTTAGTCTTCATACCCATATTGGGTTCCATACAGTTTCGTCAGAGGTAGATTACTATTCGCCAAAAAGCAGTTACTCAAGCAACTGGATATGATTTTGGAAACGGTTAGACGTTTCGGCTAGTATCCACTAGCTTTTGTCAGTGACTGAGAGACCAGAGGGGAAATGCAGGTTTACAAGCACAAACTATTGATTGATATGCAAATAAAGTGAATACAATTTTTGGAAGTCGAATAGGGAACAAAATTCAGACAAGTCAAGACAAGATACAGCAAATTAATCAGAAAGCTCCTGTTATACAGAACAGAAGCTTATTATATAATAAGTGTTGTCTGTCCTCGGGGCTGGGAGTGCCAAATTTCAAGTGCAGGAGAGATCCACCCGTAGCCCCCCTTCCCTGTTGAGGGTGGGGTTATACATTCTTTCATTTATTGCCTCTTTTACACCTCTTTAAGTTGATAGCTATGTTGAAGTTTTGGAAGTTTCTCAGTTACTCCTTGGACATACGGAATAGTAATGTTGACCTTGTTTAACTTTCTGTATAACAGGACCTTTCTGACTAATTTGCTTTATCTTGTCTTGACTTGCCTGACTTTTGTTACCTATTCGACTTCCAAAAAATTGCCTTCGATCACTTTATTTGCATATCAATCAATAGTTTGTGCTTACAAACCTGCATTTCCCCTCTGGTCTCTCAGTCACTGACGAAAGCTAGTGGATACTAGCTGAAACGTCTGACCGTTTCTAAAATTCTAAAAACCGTTTCTTCCAGTTGTTTGAGTTACGGTTTTTTTGGCGTATCGTATTACCTGGATGTCTAACCTTCATCGACGTAGATTACGATTCTGTATAAAAAAACACCACTACTTTGATAGAGGTGTACATCGCAACAAGCATTTTTTTTAACCAGAATGGGTCATATCGATTTCCATCAATACGTTGATCTGTTGATTACTGACATCACAAGAGCATGAAGTCGCGTGTCCTGAGAGATTGTATAGATAACTGAAAAAGATTAAATCAGTCAACAGTTCCCGGGAGAGTCTCGCCTTTTAAGTAAAAAAAAAACTTTTCCATGATGTAATTTACCAACTTTGAAAATAATTTTGTTAGGTTATTATATATGATAAAAAAAGTCTCATTTTCAAACCTGTACAAAAACGTATACTCAGTTGACTGTCCCCCCGGCACGTTCCATGACCTGACTACGGACACCTGTGAGTACTGCCCTGTTGGTGAGTACCAGGACCAGCCGGTACACACGGACTGTAAACAATGTCCTCACAACACCTGGTCCGTGTTTCCTGGAGCAAAGGAGGAGGCTCAATGCATGTCAGGTAGTTATTATAGTAACATGTAACATGCCGCTCTAACGGAGCTTTTATTGTAACAGTTGCTTTTA